GTTTAAATTCGTCTCCACACGCGTTCCAGTATGGAGGAACGGCGGGGGTCTTTTTTATTCCGAGCACTTAATTTCCGAGCGGTGGCAGCACGCCCGAGGGTCGGCGAGGAAAATAAAAACGGAGCAACGTTACGTAAAATTCCTACACTGAGAACGACTGTGTTACGTTCTGGCACGTTTTAGCCCGGCACCGTAGCAAAACACTTCTCCCGTAGGTTTGCTTTTATTACGAGACATTTCAGGAGTTTGCAGAGCCATGGGCATGAACGAAGAGCAGATGCCGCGGGGAGGGTTGCGCGAGCGTGTCGCGAGGCGTGACAAGAAATGTCACACGCTTCAGAAGGCATAACTACGCGTGAGGCCGGCTTGCTCGCATTCCACCGGTGACACGTACCGCGAGAGACGGACCGCGAACCTCGCAGAAATATTGAGCCCCAGGAGAAATATTGCCCGCTGCGTGACGCGTGAACACCCTGTCAATTCGAGTAGAGCAAACCGCATTATACGGCTCGATGAGCTCCCAGAAAAAAAAAAAAAAAAAAAGAATGATCGGGGAATTTGCGCGACGTGGCTGGCAATTTTTCACGGTAATAACCCTGGTTTAATGATCGATCAGTTGATACCCACGCTATGATTTCGAAATTGACCCCATCCCCTCCCCCTTGTTACCAGATGAGAACCCCCCAGAGAAATATTGTTCCTCCACAATATAGATGTAAATTCGGCCCCCTTTTCGACAGAGAAACAATTGATTTTGCCAAGCATCGCTTTCAAATTGCTTCTTCGCATGCGTATTATGCAAACACCTAAATATTGTACCTCTTGCATACTTGAACGATGCCGGAGTTTTTCTTTGGTGTTTTCGACGATACACCGTCAAGTTTTCAATGGGAATGTTCGATGGGAATTCAGTATCATTTAGCGAGAGGGTTAGAAATTTTCGCTTCGAGAAACAGTCACCTTCAGTACAAAGGGAGGAAAGTTTACTTGAAATTCGCAGTTTACGGATGAACGGTGATCGAACGATAGAGTTAGAAGTGTAATATTTTTATGCTGGCCGGTTGATGGAAACTTATAACGCTTACATTGAGAAAAACGGATCGCGAATACCGTGGAAATATTGCCCGGTGAAGTTACTGTGCGAACGCGTCGTCTATTCGAGCAACGTAAATCATATTACACGGTTACTGAATCCGAAGTGAAAAATGTTTACAGAACTTCAGTCGTATAAAGTAGCAGTTTCTTTTTTATTTTTTTATTTTGTCTTTTTTCTTTCTCGTTGGAAGAAAAACTGCAGTATTGACACTGCGAAATATTAACCGCAATGGTCGCGCAAAGTTACTCGACGAAAAGAAATATTATCGCATGATCCGGTACAATAGACTTTGTAGTTCTTGATATACGACGGCAACAATGGAAATACCCAAGTACTGATTTTAAATACCGTCTACAAACGAATATAGATGTCCAAGGATTTTCAATTTCTCTGAGCTGGTATTAAAATTCTACTTATTTGTTGTTTTATTTGAAAATTTCGAGCTGAACGAATTTGCTTCCTTTGCATTGTACTTTAAAGTGAAAATGATAAATTAGTAGAAATATAATTCCTCGATTCTTATTTTTTTTACTTCAAATTTGTTTAAGTCTGGGTGGATTATTTTGTTTGTGCTTATTTCGGCTCGGAAACACACTGTACAAATCAAAAGATTAATTCGATGAACGAAAGAGAGTGCAAAACTAGGTTATTTGGACAATCAAAATTGTTGTCTACGTTTAGTAGATGGCTTAATAAAGGAAATTGAAGAGAGGATATTTCGAGAAAAGTATTCCCAAACATTCGAGTAGCATGCCAACCCGACTCACATGGTAAACGTCTAGAATATTCTCGTTTACCAAGGACAAAGCTCGAGATTTTCCTCTCCTAAGTTCTCTATGTCTGCCCTTGGCTCGTTCTCTTTCGATATAGAGAGTCCTTGGAATGTTCTGCCCTGAGATCCCTCATATCTACGAGGCCCCCAACGCTACTCGCACATCCCTCGATTTAACAGGCCTTAATCATCACAAGGATCTTCCTCGACCCGAACGTTTTCGTCCTGTGACCAGTTACCTTGTATCCTGAAGCATCTCTAGTATATACTGTACCATCGTGCCACTTAATTGCTCGTCCTTTATGCAATCGATTCTCCGTCGAACACGTTTACTTGGTTATAAAACGGGAATATTTAGTTCATTGGATCTTTGTCATTGCGATAATAGAGCGAGAAACTCCTTCCTTCGTTAGAAGTAACGAAAAATTCTTCCGTTTTCAAAGATCGTGCGCCATATCTACGCGATCGTGAAAATTCTCTTTATTATTTCTCTCTCAATTTTATGCTGATGCGTCAGCGTACAAGAAATCACATTCGTATGCGAGTAGCGATGTACGTGCAAGAAATAGACCGAGAAACCGAGGATTGCTGTGTATCACGGGAAACTAGATCGAACGCAGCCAAATCGAATTATCCTTACAACGCTGCAATATCGTTCGCTGTATATTACGTTCTGAATATTACTGCAGAACGATTCTATCGCGATTCTATCGCGATAATTACTCACCGAAAGAACTGTTAATATTGAAATCGATCTCACAGTTTTCGGTCACGATACACCATTGCTACACGTATCACGTTTTGGTTTACGAACGCGAACGTTGAATAATGTATCTGAATCTCTCCTTAGAGACGACAGAGACAAGAATTAGTAGAGACGAGAGTAAGAATTAAAGAGTATTAGATGATAGACGCGAAAGAAAACCGTGTCCTACGAGCGTTTCATACGTAAAACGGGTGGACGATAAAATTTTAGTACAACTTCAATTCAGTAGGTTTAACGAGGGCGCGTCGCGCCGTGACGTCCCACCGATTATGAACGTTTCTACGAGGTTAATAAATCTAGAATCGTCCTAATGAAACGGCAAACTGCGTGTCTCGTGCCACACTCGGGTGATTTTGGCGGCCTCGAACCACTCGATGGAACGCGACGAAATCTCGTAACGTTGGTATCAAGATTTGCATAATTCGCAGTGATAATTAAGCGATCTGCATATTACGTTCCGCGCCATGTCAGTTTCTCTTTTAAGGGCAAATAGTCCCTGGCACGATCCTAAAGTTCCCTTTCTGTGCCCACAATTTCTCCTCGTATTTCGTTATTAGATTAGAGCGTTGTAACGAGTAATATTCACGTAACAGCCTCGCATCTGTCCCCGCCACGCCCTTCGGCTACGATGCAATCCGTGATTTCACACACGAGGCACACGCGTGACACGGAACGCGAATTTCTCGTTGATATTGGAAAATACGGGGCCGCGTTTTTTTTACTTTACCCGCCGGACCGATGGACGACGAAACAATTACCGGATACGTCGGAAAATATCGGGTGTACATGGACTTTCAACGTTTCTCGTACTTCGTTGCGTTCGTTTCTTTACGCATGTACGTTCGTAACGTAACATAAATTGCACCGTGCGCGCATGATTACTAAGTTTCTATGTAATTTCACGTACTTGAAAATGCTCTCACGAAGTAAAATTCTAATAAATCAATACGAGATGAAGGATGATAATATAGAAGATGAAAGAAAAGTTTTTATAAAGTATTTCTATGTGATATATAATAGTATATCAAGAATTTAAACAAAAAAAAAAAAAAAAAAAATAACGAAAGAGAATAAATATTATCCATTATCTTTTAATTAATTATGTTTGAAGTTCAAAGCTACGATTACGATGTTCTTTGTAATTTCTTTAACTTTCATCTGATATATTCTATAATTCTTTTCAGAAAAATATAGAGAGAAGTTTCGTTTCATTCAAAAAATACAGGAAATGTATATTAGTACGAAAATTTTAAAAGTACGAGCTTCAAGTATTCACTAACAAGCAATATAAAATGGAGCAAATATAAATCCCTGCAATTGTAAACACAAAGTATCACAGTAGATTCAGTTCTGTCGTCAGACAAGTCGTGCATTTCTCGTAGCAGTGTCCATGTATATCTAGTAGCATCTTCCATCAACCACTGATAGCTGGTTTGGTCGATGTTTCATCATTAATTGTCGAGCTGTTCTATTAAGCGGACTTGGATATGTCGATAAATATAAGGGAATAACTATAGAACGATAATAACGACGATAGCGGGAGAGGAATGTTGTATGGTCAAGTTCGGCAAGCGGCTTTGCGAACTTTCGCCAATCAGCAGGTGGAATCCCTCCCGGACGAAACTCACTGACAATTCAATTACAACTGGGAATTCCTGCTCCGACCCTAAGCTGAGAAAGTTTGGCGGTTTGATAGAAGCCATAGGAGATTCAGCGACGGAGAAGGAGGTGACCCACACTTCTCCAAGTGTTATGCAGATTTCTATTTGGCCAGTCATTAGATTGGAGGCACGGGATATTTGCTGGCACAACAGTCATTACGACAGCTGTCCACCCTGTACGATTTACCTCTTCCGTGGGACAGTCATCCATAAATCCAGGGATGCTCACACGTCATCCCTGTTATTTTCAACACCATTTGCCATGTCGAATTTTACGTATACGTCTGTTTGCGCAATTTCCTTAGAGCCATTGACGTGCATTTAATTATAATAATCAGTACTCGATGCACATTATTTAATTTAACGTAAATATGATAAAATCTTGGCCCCTTTTACAATTTACAAGCAAGTTCCTACGTAAATTATTACTTCACTGTATCTTTCGCAAATCAATTCGTGTATTTAAAAAAAAAAAATCACAGCCACATTCTATCGTTCTATCTATATATATATATATATATATATATATATATATATATATATATATATACACACACACACACACACATATTTTTTATTAATTAAAAAAAAAATTATTTCGTTGTTACAAGTTGCAAGTTTGTTGATTTAAACAAAACAAAAAATTTCAAATCGTTTCACGTCAGTTTTCGATATGTTTAGAAAAACAGTATAGCTCGCACTCACCGGCATAGTTTGGCTACCGTGTAAGGTATTGATCGCCGCTAGCGCTTCTTGATGTGATGAAAGTTTCACGAATGCACAGCCTGAAAATAAAAAAAAAAAAGAAATTTCATTAATCTTCGATGCTCGTATAAACAAGAGGATTAGATAAATGGTATTATCTCGCGACAAAGTTTTTTGACTGAACGATATCGATTAATCTTCGTTTTGCCCTCTCTTGTTCTCTTCACGCAAATGAAAATGTATGCGCGGTGCATTCGACACTTGGAAAAAAACGAAAATCACTTTGTCCAGCGAGGGAAAGAGTGAAAGAAGTTTCGTTTCCGCCATTGTCACAGAGTCGAGACCACCATCTCTAACGATGATGGAACGATTAATCGCCCCTACTCCCTGCTACGCGTGCTTATCGTTATAGTTAGATGGAGACGCGAAGACAAAGAACTCGAGGGTGCTTTGAAAAATTGACGCGCCAACGGAGCGCAACGTGCACTTAATAAAGGATGTTTACCACGAACGGAGAAACGCTCCGTTATCCAGGACAACACTCCTGGTTTCGAGCAATAACGATGCGTATCACAATGAGCAAACGATCCTGAAAAATTACTTCTATCTCTGATCGTTCGTAGAATAATCCAGAATGTCTCGTCGTACTGCTGGCGAATGGTTTTTAAAAATGTACAATCTCATAAAGTAAATAGCACATTGATCTATTTTTTGTATCTTTCTTATTATTTCTTGATCGTATACTTCACTCATATTATTATATAACTTAAGTTTTATATATAATATTATATATATAATACCATGTTATATTTATTAATAATATATCCGATATTTCAAATTGTTTTGATTCTTAGATAATTTTCATATTTATCATGAAATCTCTAACCTTGGATGTTCATTTGAAAAGAATAAAATTATCAGAGATGAATTAGGAATTTTGACGAGTTTTGTCGAAAACGGTTCGTACAGCCGAGGACAACTCGAGGCATCGAGATTCAGTTTCGTTGGTTATAAAATCTTTTGCTATTTAGCCGTTCCTATAGAGTTTGACGTGTTTCACGAAGGGGGAATTCGCGACAAGAATGGGGAAGAATGTCCGAAATCGGAGATAAAAGCGATCCGAAGTGTACATAGGTAGGTGGATAAGATTTTCTCGCGATTCAACCCCTGCCGTTCGCCGACATCGCAAGAATTTGTCCGAGCTTCCGAGCTTGCTCTGGCCCATCCCGCTATTCCTTCTTGTGCAAGCGAAATCTCCGACGAGGCTCTCGAAGACGATGCGCTCTTGAGATTTTTCTCTGCCGCTTCGGAGCAGACGGGTAGGAAGGTCGCGCGGAAATAAAAGAGTCGAATTTCTCGAAAGTTCGCGTTCCTATACGTGTACAGGCTCGCGTGCATATGTACTCCTTCTATTTCTCTCATCGCGTACACACGTGCCCGCGTGCGTACATATATATATCGTTAACGGACGCGTACGTATATAGCGTAGCTATACACACAGGTGTACAGTGAACGCGTGTGTTTGTCTGTCTATTCGTACGTGTATCTATGTTCGACGAGGCGGCTCCTTCTCGCCGGCTCGAAAACTATGTTTGCCCCCTCGAACAACGGCGAACAACAAACACTGGACAAACCGCTCGGCCCTCCGCCAACGACGACGACGTAGACTGGTTTCGTGGATCCCTCTCTTTCTCTCTCTCTCTCTCTTTCTCTCTCTTTTCGTTCCCATTTCGTCTCGAACCCTCCGTCGACCCCTTCGCGACCCCTTCCTAGACCCATCCGTTCCACTGTTCTCTCTTCTCTTTTCCCTCTTCGCCTGTATGCCACCACAGCCGTGTTCGAACCAATCGATAACGCCTGCGAGACTTTCCACTCATATATTTGATTGCTCGGCAAACATGTCTAAGTTTATTCTGCGGCCCCCCATCCCCTGTCCCGTCCACCCCCACCGATCTTCGTCGGAGCACTAACGCGCGCTGCTTGCGCGAGTCTACCGGCCGAACGCTAGACTTTCCGATACGTTGGAAACTCTCCAATGGGAGGGGGGATGCGGTGTGAAACCAACTGTTTCTTCTTTTTCTTCTTTTTTCTTTTTTTTTATTATTGTTACACTCGAGATAATTTGATCGTATTAGAACAACGTGTTTATAGTCGTCGACCAAGACACACAGGTGATTGAGAAGGGAATCGTCGGGTTTTAATCTGGACTCGAGGTAATCTTTAGCTGAGATTTCATCCCGTTGACTTGTCACCTCGAATTGAAAAGCGATTGTTTACGTCATCTTGGTGTTGACGCCACTTCTCGCAGGAGAGACATGAGCGAGCCGCGAAACTCGATTACTTTTAGTCTTAGTTGTTGTCATTCAAATCAAACACGCTCGTGTTTCGTTTTATAATTTAAAATACGTGTAAATACGATAGAAGCCATAATGGATACACTTACCTATTCCGAAATTTTCCAACTGGCGAATATCAGAATCAAAATCAACTTATCATGCTATCGAGTCGAGAAGTATAAAGAAATATTTTTCATATATTTTAATATCCAATGCTTAATCCTTTCACTTGATGTAATTCTCAAACTTTATTAGATATGAAATCTATTGATTTTTTTGTCGGTTTTTGATTCGAACTATTCCAAGTTGCTAACGATCTCATTATCCGTGGAAAACTGACCAAACTCCAAAGGAATTTATATCCCTTATCGATCAAGCGAGAGTTAACAATTGAATTAATTCGCGGGGACGTCGAAAATCACATTAAGTTCGGGTCTAATTGTTTTTTCAATGGAGGACCACGAAAATTATCGGTACTATGCGGTTTATTCCGAAAACTTTCGCTTCTGCGGTAAATTAACGCACCCTTTGTTTGTTCTGTCATCGAAGTAATACCCGATTCGTTGATGCAACATAAAAATAGGTATAATAGTGCTACCGACGAATAGCGTAGTGCTCTTGTTTTTATGCAAACTCAAATGAAAAATACGCTGCTCGAAATGCTGTAAACCTCACGGCACGCGCGCGTTCGCATTGCACGAACAAATACCGAAATTCACAGTAAATCGATGACGTATATTTGTTTTTGCAACAGTTGCAAGTGAACTGTACATGGTCAACATTATCATTCATTCACGGTGCATTGAAATTTTAAGCAACAATAATTGCATCTATCCTCTACAAAAAATATACGATTCGAAACGTAAGAAAAACGCAATTGCGTTTGATAAATGCTTCAACTTTCCACTATTTACCGTGTTTAATAAATTTGACAATTTGATTACAAGCTGATCATGCTGCGTACTTTATTCTTAGATAAATAGTGTTCATTAACGCGTGAATTCTAATTAAATTTAATTAGCGCATCTCGCGATATCACTTAAAGAAGAAGAAAACTTTGTTTTCCATTTCAATCAAGAGATAAAAATAGAGATAGCGTAGATGATATCGTACAAGCAATAAATATCAGTATCATTTGGACAGGCATTCGCACGCAACCCCAAACACGTTCAGTTAGGGGTTGTCGACACGCGTCTGAACGTTTCTGTGTCAATGGGTGGGGCTCTTATTTTTTCAATAACTAACTGAGAAAACTCACCGCAAGGACTATGGGAAACACGCAGCAAGATAACTATTTGAAATGGATTATGCGAGATTTAATGTCAAGTCGTTCGTTTTATTTTGTTTGCTATGATATATGCAAACAAAATTGTTCCTATTTGAGCGAGTGAAGATCGTTTCCCAGAAATGGAGGAGAATTGGGAAACGTGGCGTTGAAAATGTTAACCGGCGAAGCGTATTATACTTTTTTGATATTAATTTTTACCGCGAAACGCGTTTTATTAGAATCTACCGTGCCGCGGCGTGTCGTGTGATAAAAGCCACCGCGCAGAGCTCATTGTTCTCCGAGCACAAAATCGGGGCACTTTTCGAAATACGAAAGGGTAGAAATGAACAAAACGGGGGTTACGTGTAAATCGTTTGGACATATGCTTGATAACTACCGTTCGAGTTGCCGGCATGACGTGAAGTTTGTGTGCTGACACCGGGAACCGGGGACCAAACGAATCAATTTCATTGATGAAGCTACTAAATCCGGTGCAGGTTGAACGCGAGCACTCGTAATTGGTACAACGGTCGGTTTTACAAAGTACATAGAGCACGGCTGTGTCGAAGCCAGAAACGAACTAAAAAATAAAGGAAAAAAAGAAAAAAATGGAGAAAAAAAAGAAGGAAAAACGAAAAAAATAAAAAGCGCGCGCGTAAGTGTACGAGAGAAATAGCGGGACAAAGAGAGCGGTGCGGGACAAGCGAAAGCAGAGGTAGGATAAGGGGCGGGATTAAAAACGCTGACAAAGTTACTAAACACTCGTGTGCTCAGCCCTTTTTATATTCGCGAGATGAAACCAGGGCGTGCGTGTGGTGGTCGGAGAGAAAGGGTGGAAAAAGGTAAAAGGGAAAAGGAAAAAAGGAAAAAGGACGAGCATCGAGGCTTGCAGGAGAGCCTCCAAAGCCGGCGGAAAGAGAAGCACAAATGCAAATGTAAACGTCGAGGAAAGGAGATACAGAAAGTGTGGATATAGTATATGGCGGCAAACTAGGAATTCGGTATAAGAGATTTGCAGGTTTGCCACAGGGTACGCGGCGGAGAGGGGAGAACGAAGGGAGAAACAAGACATGTAAATCCAACGGGAGATGAACCAAAAAAANAAAAAAAAAAAAAAAAAAAAGAAAAAAAAGGGAAAGAAAAAAAACAAGGAGAAAGAGGGAAAAATAAAAATGAATACTGTGACCTTTACAGTGCAGAACGGACGAAGATGGACAAGGTTCGAGAAGTCGTCTCTTCAATTTTTTTATGGAACTAAAACCTCCTTTGTGTACCGTTCTCGTGAAGCGTAACACTTTCTGGCATAAAGAGTACTTTGAAAAGGAGCTTGAAATATTGTTTGCTTGCCGTAAAAGCACTTGCTGTTCTATCGTGAAAAAGTATTCTTATATCCTGAAATGAGTTCGTGCTTGTACAAACGGATGTTCGAAATAAAATACATACGTAATATCCCTTTGATCACGATGCACACTTGATTAAAAATAAATACATGTACGCGCGCACCCTTTTGTTAAGACAGTATTGCAGAACACTTTACGTATAATATTTCTATTTGAAACGCGAAAGCACCGAAAGCATCGTTCTTCTATCACGACGATACTGATAAATTCCAAATTTTTCCGGTTAAAAGGTTTTATAATGCTTTTAGAACTTTCTGGCACTTCCAACGAGATTTTCATTAATTCAAGTTCGAAAGTACTGTGTAACGTTAATGTAACGTACTTGCACGAGTTAAAAAAAAAAAAAAAAGAAAAAGACTCTAGAATCTGGTATCCTTGTTTATTCGGAAAAATCGATGAATGACTTTAATATAGTTTACATTACGTATCTGAAACTACAATTAACAGAAGTGTCGCTAGAATTTTGTTTCCGTCGTTGACGCAATGTCAATTCAGTGTTTCGTTCGGTGAAAAAATATTTGGTATATTTAGGAGTGAGAGACAAATGAGATACCCAAGCGTAGAATGCAAGAAAACGTGTTGTACAAGACGAGAGATGGTAAGTATAATACAGAGGAACGAAATGCCATTATAACGCGGACACGGGTGAATCCCGGAGGGATGCAGAGAGCGCGCGAAACGGAACGGGAAAGAAAAACGGAAGAAGACAAAGAGGTAGACACGTACGAGAACGAAAGGGACGTGACAACACCCGGAAAACGGCGTTGCTATGCTATTATTACGAGAAGATAAATTTCCTACCGGAACGTCTCTCTTTCTGCATTTGGAAAATATCGCGACGTCTCTCATTTTCGGTGGCACTCAGCTAAATCACATACTACTTACGTAACCGCTGGACGTTTCTACCGCAATGTATCTACCTGCATTACGTCTACTTTATGACACGCATGGTGTCTTGTTCGTAACATAAAACATAACGATACATTAACAAAAATGTCGCGGAAAAGTTAAGCCATCTAAAAGGAAATTCCAAGGATTTGCTCAATGTTTTTTTTTTTTTTTTTATCATCGTGTTTCCGATCTGAACCTCAGAATTTTGTGAAATGTAATCAGATTGAACTCTTCTTTATATTATGATAAATTATTGCTCGGCACAATTTTTGGTACAATACGATTCTTTTGATACAATTTTTTGCTTTTGCTTGGCTTCTGCTGCTATTTGTTTTTTTTTTTTTTTTCATTTCATGGCAGTCGTGAAGAAATGCAGCTCCCACAATTTCACTATATCGTAAAAAATAAGTGAAAATCGAAGAAACGCATTTCAGCGTGGCGGGGGTCACCGGTAACCCCCAGTAAAATAAATAGCCCATTAAACATAGTATACCTATCGTATAAAAACAGATTCATGTTAGCGTCTTGGACAAGTCGTGCAATAGCTATTTGATATTCAACGTGATATTCAACGTAATGAGTCACAATTTCACGAGAGCAAAATACCCGTAACGTTTGCATTGTTCGCAATTAATTTTACGAAACAAAATCAAATCAGATACGTTAAATAACATATTCTAAACAATTGCATAATTACTTTTAACTTTTGCATGTACTAGAATGTAATTATTGTGACTTTTTGATTAGAAATGGCAACAGATAGCATATGACTTGTTGACAGTAAATTAGTATAAACAATTACTATAAATTTAGTGCAATTTACGAGCAATTACTTTAGTTAACGTAAGATGTTAATCAATTTCTCACGTACCCCGATGAGTAACCACTTGAATCGTTTGACGTTGTTTCAGAAATGCAGTCGAGAAGACGTGGGCGACTGAAGGGAGGACACGGTGCTGGTTATGACTTAATTGCGAACATTTGCAACGAGAAACGTAAGTTGAAGAGAAAGAATGAATTTACCGAAGATTTTTCTATCCGCGGTATTAAGTATCCGAAGTGTGTGACATCAGAAATAGAGAGGTAAGAAGCCGACAAGGAAAGTACGCCGCGGCGTCCCTTTACGGTCGTTTTGTAATTGACGGTGGCCTATGCCCGTTGGGAGTGGCCCTTCCAGCAGATTCATCTAGATTACAGTGCAAAACTAGTCTCCGCTTGGCGTATTTACCCGGCATTAAATTACACAGACGGTCGCGCGCGTCGACGAGGGTTGAGCGTCGTTCGGCGCTTTACCGGTTTACTTTCATCACATCCAATATTGATCACGCGCAACGTGCGAGCTTTATTTATGCAACGGAGTGTATTGTTGTAACGGCAACTACGGAAATCGTGTCCCGGTTTGATCAGCCGCGTCACATTTACTTTGGATTTTGTCGAAGCCTTTTCTCGTTATCTTTCTGGTTACCCCTGGCATTCAGCTCTGGTCAAGGTTTAACGCGTTCTAGTTAAAAACCAAATCTTCGGCGGATCAAATACGATCGCGTTCCAGTTGCGTTCGTGGATGAAATTCTGTCTTTCGACTTGAAAACAGCGACTTGATCGAGAGCAAATCAGTCTTTTGTGAAATCATTATTGATAACATTGGTGAAAAAGCTAGTAGATAATCGTTCAGCATTTTTCTTTTTTTCTTTTTTTTTTCTTTTTTTCATAAAACTGTTATGTAACACTGCTGATGCTTGAAATATGTAAATGACGTGTGCCCCGGGAGAATTGAAATCAAAATATTCATCGCGCGTAATATCGATTTGGCTTCGGATTCGCTTTCTAAGAATCCGAATACGTTCCCTGAGAAATTCCGCTACAGCCTCGACTACGGAAATCGGGAACCGCTTTGATCCGAGTGTCGCGTTTACTGCGAATTTCGTCGGGGCTTTTTGTCGCACCTGCTCAACCCTTTCCGCCTTTTTGCTCTAGCTGCAACAGATGTTCCTCGAATTTTTTAAGGGTGTGTAAAAGGAGCGCGACTAAACGCACGCGCGCGCTTAAAAATCTGCGAATATTTGTTACAGATTTTCCTCTGCGCGTGCAACGATTTTGTAAAAGTCCTTTTGCAAACATAAAGATTTCTACATTTTAAACAAGTTTAAATCAGTTATATGCACTTTGGATAGTCTTCGAAAAATATAGAAAAATTCTAATTCTATATTTCATAACTATATGTATAACTATACAATAATCGTGTACAAATTTTCAGAAAATCCGTATAGGTATTTATAATATGCAATATAATAAAGATACATGAATATAGTAACATTTAAGTATCAAAAACAAGTGATCGTAATTATAGACAGAATTACAGAATATAAGGATCGACAAATTGAACAACTATACACGGGAATAAAATTAATGCGAATCTTGCATGTAATCGCATGGGAATTTAATTGATTAAATTTAATATATTTATAAATTGATAAAAGGATTTGTGCATTTAATTATTTATCTCTTAGGATTTCGTCAGTGTGACGTCAAAAAATTAAGAACAATGGGGGACAAACTAGGTTCAATATAACATTTCAAAATATATTTCATATCCGTTAAAAAATCCCGGCGGCCTTTAGGGGCGGTTCCGTTCCATTTCTAGCAACGGAGTGAACGCAGAATTTTTGAAATACTGCGAGTTCGTTACGGCATGTTGCGCAATTCGCTCTCGAGTAATTCTGGTAATACCAGCAATCATCCTGTCGCCGGGTTAAGCTCTGATAAGCTTTCGATGTCTTTTCGTTCGCGGTTCAGATCGAAAATGACGGTTGTTGGAACATGGGGAAAGGCTGCCGACTTCCCATGGGGAATCTCTCTGTTTTTCTTGTTGGAGCGCGGCAAATACAACCTATACTTTCCCACCCTTGTCGATTTCTCCCTATTTCCTCGTCGTTGTTGCGTCGTGGAGAATCTCTCGTTACTAGTTTCTTTTGTCTTCTGTTTCTTTCTTGTTCTTTCTTCTTCCAGTAATTATCGCGACTGCGAAATTACGTCGGTTAACGTAAAGATTAATAACTTGATATATCATTCGTATAATTTTGAACGAAGTTTGAACGATCATGTAGATTAACGAGCGTGCAGAGGCAGACGTACAAATACGTCGAGTCACTTGGCGCAATCACGGAAGGATCCGCGAAAGATTAATTAATAAAACCGAGAGTTCGGTTCTCGTTCGATTTACATAGGAATATCCGGCGCTTTTACGTACAGACGGCCGACTCTAATTTGAACGGAGTTCAAAGTGAAAATTTCCCGTCGCTTCTGCACGATCGCGCTGATTCTCTGGTGCGAGTTGGGGAGGTGGGGAGATAGGATCCGCACGCGCAAATGGTCGTGCAGAAATGACCAAAGAGAACAATAAGTCGAAGGGGTGGCTTGAGAAGAGAGAAAGTGGCACGTTGTCCTTTGGAGGTCATAAAGGAAGTCGCGGTAAAGGCACCGAGAGAGAGAGAGAGAGACCCCGGGACATGGTGGAAAGGGGGAGGAACTAGTCGAAGGAAGGAGAAAAGGGGTGGACGTTTCGAGGAGTAAAAAGAGTCGGAAGGAAAGGGGGATGCAGTGGAGCAAAGGAGAGTCTCCGGGCTAATTAAATAACTAGCAAAGTCACCTAGCAACTTGGCACCTCAGCCCCGAGTCCATCCCCTTTTCCAAGTCCCGCGGTCTTTCTTACCGCTGGCTTCTACGCTTCCGTCTGTCTTTCTCTCACACTTCGACCCTCCTTCTGTCGGTCTCGCTTCATGGTGCGAATGCACCCTCGTCGCCCACGACGTCACCTCGTTATTTAATTAAACTTCGCGGAAGCAGCTCGCGGCTGCTTGATACCGAAGCACGTAGCTCGTCACCTTCCATTTTCCTCGTCCCCTGCCATTTCTTATTTTCGTTCTTTTCTCGCAAATCATTTGCGGAACGTGGACGTCGGCGCGAACAGCCTGCTATAATTGTTAAAACGTCAACGCGACGGCCGGCAAGCTTGATATTCACTGTTATTTCTCCTACTTTTTCACACGCTCCTCGAGGTGGGACTTCTCGATTCGTCAGTTACGTAATTTTTTCAGTCATTTCGAATAGATATTTTCCGCTCCAGTTTCATCGCGAATCGTACGCAGGTTTTTTGTCCGAGTTTTCTCCTCGTCAACAGAGTCGGGGAAATAGTTGAATAAAATTTTGATATATGGATTACACCGGAATATTTTTGCATTTGAACGTGAGACTCGTTTGATCGTTATCCGATTTGGTTCGTAGCTTTTAAACATTTTTTTTTTTTTTTATGGATTAGAACGGTCCCGATGAACGAGAAAGATTTCGGATTATGTACGTTTAATGGAGAGCAACGCCATTTTATACAATACATTGTCGGACATGTCAACACGTCGATGAAATATAAAAATCCCTCTTCGTTGAAAACTTTGAAGGCATAAACGTGCATAAGGCACGCGACGTAAAGACGTTTTTAAGAAATATTACTAAACGATTAATTCTCTCTCGGATGATTAACGACTACATTTATAACGAAAAAAAGAAATAGAAAAAAAGCTGGAACGTGATCCGCTGTTCCTTCTACCAAGAATTACCGTTTCCCTTCGACTTTTACTAATTTCGTCGGAAATGTAGCAAGGGCTGTAACTGGACGTCACGAAGGGGTCCCAAGAGAAGTCTCACCGTGAACCGTTAATTTACTGCCACAAAAGTAAACCGCGCAGGATCTTGGAAGAAGTTGCTTTCGTCTCCCTTATTCCAATCTGCTTCCTATCACGATCATATTTCTGCTGATACAAATATTGAAAATATTTGCTCTCGTGTAATGGATGGAAAAAATTTCTGGACTAAACAAAAAGAAATAAGTTATTAATTCCTGTTTGCAACGTAAATATTTGTTACACACACACACACACACACACACACCAAATACCAAATACCAAATTCACGACAAACGTGCAATTTTCCATTTTAAAAAACGAGTACTTCTGGTAACTTTGGGGGAGATTTTTGAAATACTGCGTTTTCGACGGGAACGAGGTACCGAAGAAATAGAAGCGAGAAACCCGGTGAAGGATTATGATCGGCTATTGTGGCACGTTCTCCAGTTCGATGTAAATTTGTTTAGAGTAGCCCGAGGGCTATCGCGATGCGCTATCCTGACCGACAGGAGTTTAATTTTGAGAAACGCAAACATCCCGTAATTAAGCAGACCCGGAGAACAGGACCGAAGGGTATGCCTGTGGAGACCCAGTGAAAAACCACTCATAATTGCCAACCGAATCAATATTTGAACTCCCTTTATAGTGCTGAATGGTCAGTAAGGACTGATGGACTCTCGTTCATTGCACGTACGCACTATGCAAGCACTTTTACTCCAGCTGGAATCGAGGGTTTCTCGATAAGGAGACTTTGCTGAAATATAGTTGATCCGTAAAAGGAAGAAAGAAAGAAAGAAAGAAAAACGCGAGTATTTTGCATAAATTATTGGCAACGATATATTCGGATATATATTCTCACTTTCGTCGTAGTGTTAGATTATAATTGAGATCAAGTACATCGTACACACGTGACAAAATGTGAGATACTTTATCAGAGGACACAAGAGAACTGAAGGTAAACTTTCTTAATTCAAACGGGACGGAGATCTTATGACGGAGGATGTCCCGAGTTGAAAAGATGAAACTCGACTTTAGATGGCGCGAGAACTTCGAAATCATTGTCCAAGTAAACTTTCTAACCCTGTAGCGGAGAGATCGAGACTTCACTCGAGAACCAATTAAAAATTATACTCCACTCTTTCCACTTGCGACGCCAGCGTAGATGAGATTCTCTACAAAAATATTATATTTCTTTTCGCTCAACTTTCGTTCATCGTTTTAAACGTACACGAACGATACGGATTAATTTCAGCTAGATTACACAAGCCTTCGGAAGTTCGGGAAATAGCAGAGCGCTCGTGTTTACAACGCGGACCAAT